TGGCTTAGTTCACCCAAATCACAATAAAATTAAAAAAAAAACTAGCAACAACGACTCTCCCCAAAAAAACCACCAACAAATACAAAAAAAAAAAAAAAATGGCTTGGTATTTTTCATTATACTATTTAGCAGAATGAAATTGCTAAAGACTTTTTTCCATATCTTAATTGGATATTAAAATAAGAAATATTCTCACTAGTCAAAAATATCAGTAAGATTTTCAAACAAAAATTAAGTACCAATAACATTCAGGAGAGCATCTTTCATTTTAAGTTTCACAACATATACCAAACCAAACATACTGCCACTGAGTGGCACGATCCTTTAGACAGAGTAGAACAGCTCCATAGGGTTTCCAAGGCTGTGAATCTTTACAGAAGCAGATTGTCTTATCTTTTCTCCTGCAGAGCAGTTGGCGGGTTCAAACCACCAACCTTTTGGTTAGCAGGTGAATGTTTTAACCACTAGGGCACCCGAGCTCCTACCATACTATATACAGGAGATTTAAATAGAAACAAAAAAAAATGGGAGGGGTAGGAGGAAGGAGACAGTGAGAGGAGAAAAAAGGGGAAAAAAAGAGCAGTGTTGCATCGGCAACAAGAGAAAAAAGAACAGCTGTAGCTGAGTAAATCCACCAAATATTTTCAACAAGGTATATACTACATACTCGTGGGTCATGTTGTTGTTGTTGTTATGTGCCGTTGAGTCATCTCCAACTCATAGAGACCCCTCCTTTTCCGAAGTAGATTGCCCTATCTTCCAAGGAGTGGCTGGTGGGTTTGAACCACCAACATTCTGGTTAGCAGTCAAGTGCCTTAGGCACTATGCCACCAGAGCTCCCTCATGGGTCATATGTACATGTTATGGAGTTGACAGAAATATCTCATATTTGAAGGGCTGTCACTCAATTTTATTTTACATTTTTACACAAGGTCATTTCATATTATCATATATATTATCATAGTGCCTGTTTTTGTTGTTGTTAAGTGCCATCGAGTCGTTTCCGACTCATAGCGACCCCATGCACAGCAGAACAAAACACTGCCCAATCCCACGCCATAGTGCCTGGTACATACAAATAATAAATGTTTGTTAAGTGATCAATTGGCTGGATAGGTAGTTAAATGGACAAATGGATAGAAGGAAAAAGAATGAATATTCAAAATAAAGTTTAAAAATAATTGATACAGTGATTTGTTACTTCTCTATGTAATAAAAGCTAACCTAATCAGGGGGAATATGTGAGAAGCAGCAAGGCACAAGGGAAAGAAGACAAGATTTGGGCTCAGAAAGATCTCTAAATCCTGGCTTGTGAATCCATGAGCAAAATTTCTATGTGTCTTAGTTTCTTCCACCTATAACATGAGGATTACAATATCTACCTTACAAACACAGCAAACCAGCAAATTTGGCACCTGGAACAAGCTATACAAAACCAGCTCTCAAATAAACTCTGTAATTCCTAATGTAGCCCACAGATGGGTGTTACAAACAATGCTCGCCATCTGGTAGCTTCCTGTTTTAAATAATTATTGTTGCTAACTAGGTGCCAAGCTTTTAAAATCATTATATTAAATGTTTGCACCCTCTAAATTTTGGTGTCCTTTAGAAAGAGCCTAGTATGACCAGTCATAGTTCAGTTGTTTTGGGGAATAAAAATAACTTAAGAAAAACTCCTTTGCACAGTAACAGGCATGTATTAGACTATGAATTTCTGTTGTTATTTAAACATTTTGCTAATACCTTTATGTCATCCATTAGCCACTTTACATGACCGCAACTATTCCATAAGTTCAACTATAAATACAGATTCATCAAGCTACTTCCAGCATTATATAAACAAGATGGGAAATGGAAGGATGACATGTACTGCATATTCTCTTCAAAGATTCAAGTTGATTTGTTTGACCTTGATTTTTGGGCTTTCTCAGCTAAATCTATATACACCTGAGGGAAAGAATGGAAGATACCCTAATTTCAAGAGTCATTTCTAGAATGAGCATATAAGTGTCAGGTTCAAACAGAAAACACAAAGTTACTACTATCAGAGTATGCTTTTTCACTGCTGGATGGAAAAATAGAACTGTTTCTATCGTGTTTTGCATCTAGCCTCAGCTGTGCAAATGGCAGTTAAGGAAGGAAAACATCAGGCCATCTTTATCAGATAAACTCTGACAGAATGAATATTCATTTGGCTGTTAGTAGTGAAATAACGAACTTACCAACTAAAAAGATCCCCTGTATAAATCACTCCTTCATAGCTTTGGAAAAAAAAATTTTCCGGATTAGCAGATATCTAGAAATTATTATTTTATTATAAAGCATGTCAATCCAAATCAAGGTCACAGGTAACAACTGTTAGCAAAAATTAAACTAAAATGACTTACAGGTACAACTGTTTATAGCTATGCCTCAATAACAATTTTGTGACACTAGAACAAACTTTCCCCAAGGAAGCATCTCTTCTGCTCATAAATGTCAAAATCAAGCTCACATGCTACAGCCCCAATTTCCCCACAAATTAAAGGATAATGTCCATCTGTCTGCTAGCTGGTGACTGATACACCTTTAAATAGAATCCACAGACCAGCACTGCTGTGACCTTACATTTGATAGCCAAATGTATAGCCATCAGGATTAAAACTAAGATAATTTTACATACTGGTTGAAAAAAAAAGTCAGAATCAACTCAATGACAATGGGTTTTCTGAGTTTTGGTTTTTTTATGATAGTGGTTTCCACAGTTTATATGAATAAAAATTGATCATATTATGAATACACAATAAAGAACTAAAGGACATTTCATTAATTATTAACTTTTTTAATTTGATGGCATATAACAACAACAAAAAAAAACATTCTGGTCAGAAATGGGTACTGTGGCTTCAGTAAAACAAACATAGTAAATAGAAGAAATAAGATTAGTTTAACTGGTAACATTCCTTAGGGTAGAGTATAGTAGGTTTGGTATCAAGTTCTAATTGAGAATTAATTCAACTCCATAAACAGCAAAGTAACTAACTAAATGATACATTCTTTGTTATTTGTTGACATATATTCGTAAGTCTCATTTTAAAGCAAAGATTTTTATTCTTCTGGTGCCATCAAGTGGTAACATAATGTAGTGCTCTGAGGTTAAATGGGAGTAACTTTTAGACAGAAAAACGTCCCACTGGTGTGTTTTCGTTTACCTCAATTAAATACCAGGTATATTTTAATACATGATTATTTGCTGGGAAAAAAAGCTGGGATGTGTCTGGATATCAAAGCAGATTATTTGTAACTCATACCTATCTTAAACTCCCAAGCCAAAAATGAAATTTTAGACAAAGCACAAAATGAATAGATCTGTAAGATAATAATGCTCTACTTGCATGCAAGCAAGTAAACAATAGCCAATTGACTATGAAACCATTTGAAAAACAAAACTCAGAGCGAAATGCTCTATCAGTCAAACCATGAGAAAAAGTGGCTTCAGAATTAACTTATCAATTAGAAACCTTAAAAGTGATAACTGAATTACGCAACTGTATGGAGAAGACTTAAATTAATGGGAAATTAATATCAGAATCAATTCTTTGAAACTGTGTAATATCAAGTTGTATCATCAACCTCAGTAAGACAATCATCACACCAAAAAAGTAAACAATAGGATTCCAACTTCTCTTATTGCTACACACACAAAGTATTAATAGCTTTTAATCCCCAGGCTCAACAAAATAAGTAGCTAATGTGAGAAACATGAATACCCAGATGGCAGACTGAACACATTTATTTAGCTATGCTTTCTCCTGAAACCCCATAAACATGGCAGTAAAAAACTTCTTTGTATTTATATTTATTCTTTTATAAAAAAAAGGCAAAACCCCACAAGGACAAAGGAATTGGGAGAGAAAACAGCAGCAACAAAATTTTAAAAGAAAGAAAATGGATGAATGGTTACTAACTTGGTAAACTCAAGTTACATGGCACTGTAAAACTCTCCAAAAGTTGAGAAACTGGTAGCACTAGGTAGCTATGGATGTAGGGGTAAAGTCTAAAAACAACAGAATTGGTCAAAATTCCAAATTAAGAAGCAGTTAGGGCCCCTCCCCATGAACGCACACATGCACTCCCTCTTCCACTCTAGACAGCCAAGTGTGCACCCTTATCCCACCTCATTATAAGACTAAGGTTTATACTCTAGGAAGAATAAAATAGAAGACTTCAGGACAACAAGACACCAAGCACAGTGTAGTTAGTAGTACTGAAAATTGTGGTGATCTGAAAGGTCTGACAAGTTGAAGATGACAGAACAACACTGAAAATTATGATGATTTTCTGGAAAGAAACCTATTAGGAGATGTCACATCAACCTTTGATTATTGTGTGCAAAACATCCTATTACTACAGCATGCTTCATTCTACTTTATAAGAAAAAGGCAAATGACTAAAAGAAAAGCTGATGCTTAAAAAAAAGAAAGTATTACTCAAAAACATTCATCTGCATTCACAGCTTATGTCCTATATCATATCAATTGATTAATCAGCTGAGGATCTACTGCAACCAACAAAGAACCGAATAGCAGGCAAAGCCAAAGAAGCCTCGCACTCAGTTTGAAAACCCATTTCATTTTGTATCTGCAGGCTGTCAAGAGTAAATGTGCTAGAGAATCCCTGTGGAAACTTCTGAGAATTGAAGAATGGTGAGCACTATAGCTAAATCAGAAGAAACATAAACTACATTCATAAAAAAGACTTAGTGCCTTGCAGATTTAAAAGAAATCCTGTTTATGTGTATGAACTGCTCAGAGTAAAGAGTTAAATACCTCTGATACTGTCTTACATCTCATGTAACTAAAAGTGTATTTCCATACGTAGGTCATTAAAGCTTCAGTAATTTCTCTTTCTCAGTCTTGTCTCTACATAGGATTATAAAGAAAATAAAGTCATATACAGTTTTTCCCCCAGATACCAACATAAGAACATGCCCAAACACATTAATATAGATAAAATGGTACCTTGAACACCTTCTAGGAGTAAATCAACTCCCTTCCTATAAAAATCTGAAGCAGCTTCATAGTCTTCTTCTTCTTCCTTTTTTAAAGCCAGCTTTATTAATTCTCCTGCTTTCTCCAAATAATCTCTCTTGCCAAGTTTATGTTTTAAACTGCCAGGAAAGAGGCTACGGCTTTCCCGTTCTTCTTCTGTTTTGTTCTGTTCACTGTCAGAAGCAACAGCCCCTAGTGCTGAAGAATCCGAAGAAAGATTGAGACCAAAAGTTCTAATAGGAGAATTTTGATTGGAAGCCATTCCATCATCTAACTCAGCAAGAGAATCCACATCAACAGTAAGAGATATCAGATCACTGTCACTGGAGAAGCCTAGAAATATGATCACAATAGTAAACAGATATTAAATGGAGAATCAGCCAAAAGAACACAAATCATGCTGACTATTCATTTTTCCATACTATCCAAGTCAATTAGGAAGACTGTAACTTACTGATGGAAGCCAATGGCCAGCCATTTGATTCCGCTTAGTTCACTCATTTCTATGCCATTTCTCTATAGCTCTGAAATACCATCTCCTTGCCTTAATTATCAAACTAAAACTGAAGATATGTCTTTATCTGGCCTTGTTTTCCAAAAAAGCCTGAACTACAAGATCTTGTAAACTGTTTATAGAAAGCTGTTGCTATACACACAGCTGCTGTAAACAATAGCAGTAGGGTAAAAGAAAAAGAGTACAAGCTTGGGAGCCAGACAAAATAAAGTGCTTGAAGCCCCGTTCTAAAAACTTCCTGTGTGACCAACAGCAAGTCCCTTAATAATACTACCTATTATGCAGGGCTTTTACATAAGCGATAGAGTTAATGCATATAAAGCAAATAGACTACTGGAACTATTGTAATAATGCCTACACAATGCATACTCACAGGTGTGTTTTATTTTAAAAAGGTATGGTGTGGGAGATATTTTTTAAGGACTGAACTTTAAGAAATTTTGTTTCAGCCTCTTCCACAAGCTTTTAGAGAGAACCTGGGTCTTTATTTGCACCTTAGCTTTCTAACAAAAATGATTAAGAGGTGCTAGTGAAACATTCAGCAGTGAAAAATACTTCTCCCACTCCATACAGCTGACTTCATAATAAATGAGCACGAGCTACAGCAACAGTTATCAAATGTTTTCTTCTCAGAAGCCACTTTAACACTTCTAAAAATGACTGAGGACCCCAAAGAGCTTTGTCATCTAAGAATATAAAACTGAGAACTTTTAAAAATATTAATTCATTTTAAAATAAAATTTTAAAGCCCATCACAACTTAACATAATTTTTATGAAAAATAACTATAGTTTCAAAAAAATATTTAGTAAGAAAAGTAGCATCATTTTACATTTTTTGCAAATCTTATTCATCTTTGGCTTAATAGAAGATGGCTAGATTCTCTTATCTGCTTCTATACTCAATCTGTTGCTAAATATTGAAGGATATGAAGAAAATGTCACACAGATATGTAATTTAAAAAGAGATGGTAAGTATTTTAGCCTTTTCGGATAATTGTAGATACGGTTTGATACAACACCAAAACTCGACAAGTGGTAGTTCCTTAAAGCTTAGTTGTAATGTGGAATATAAAATTCTATCAATAAAATTTTTATATTGTTACATTAAAATTCATTGGTTTGTCTTTGTACTTTGAACAGATATTTTATCAATGCATAGACTTTATAACATCATCCATTGGTAACTCTGAAAATACTGGTTCCCTAAGTTACACAGATTTTCTGAATGTTGACACATTATATAATATCCCCCCCCCAAAAAAAATTGTTAATATCACCTCCATTTCCTCAGAAAATTACTTGAAGTATTAGGAAACTGTCAAGTTTAAAGTGGCAGGTATAAGTTTTCCAAAATCCTGATTTTTAGGTTGAAAGCTCAAATTTTATCATTAGCAACAAATACCGATTTATTTTTCCCTAAAGTGCCAGCCCACTTAATTCACTTTCAAGGAAATATCTGCCAAATATCTGTGTCTGAAAAACAATACTTTGTCTGTTGTTCTTTCAAACAAAATGGTGTTCTGTGAAAAAGCAGCTAGATTAACTTCATGGTTCAAACACCTGTACAAGTGCTTTTCCTCAAGACAATCACAGTAGTTCAGTATATAGAAGTGATTTATATTTACTTCCCATTTCCTAACATAAAATATTAAAAAGACATGTCTCAAAGGTTGAGATGTAATAAAATCTTCATCAAGGACATTCCCAAATGAAACTGGTGCTGGTTTTACTGCAAATATACGCAATGATTAATGGTAGAGTTTGGTGTCACTGTCTTGATTCATGCAAAGGCATAACAATTTCACCCACCTTTGCTTTTACACCATCAGAGCAAATATCAACAAAGCAAAAAAGGCAAATAATGACCTAATGTTATCATCAAAATAGTTTTCACCTTGCAGACCTCAGAAGATCTCAGGGATACCCAAGCGTCTGAAGATCACACTTTGAAAGCCACTGATCAGTATCATTAAATAAGACTGAAAAGATGATTGTGTAGAAAACAGGGTTGGAAACAGCTCAGGAACACTGTGAACACTGACTGCCAATTTTGCCAGAAAAGAAAATACATTAAGGAAAAAATTACTTCCTCAGGATCACATACCAATGAAAATTAAAGGTGAATTAAACTATTCAATTCTAGATCAGAGGTCCACAAACATTTTTATAAATGGCCAGATAGTAAATATTTTAGACTTTATACACAGACCACACAGTCTCAGTCACTACTAAGCAACTCTGCTACTGTAGCATGAAAAAAAAAAAAAAATGCCATAGGCAATACATAAATGATAAGCATGGCTATGTTCCAATAAAACTATATTTATGGACATTGAAATTCAAATTTCATATAATTTTCACATGTCACAAAATAGTATTCTTCTTCTTCTGATTTTTTTTTAACATTTAAAAATGTAATAACCATTCTTAGTTCACAGGCTATACAAAAAAAGGTAGCTGGCTAGATTTGACCTACAGGCCATAGTTTGCTAACCTTTATTATAGAGTCAAATTGCCACTCCATAAGTTTGGGTAAAAACATGTTACTGACAGTTAAACTCAAATTTCAAACCAGCTTTAGACACTAGTACCCTGTCAATATACCCTCATTTTTCAGAGGTTTTTTTTTTCCCCCTATTCCCTAAAATACCCAGAAAAAATAATTTTGTTCTCTAAAAGCAACAAGATTTCATTAAATCCACAATCTTAGGTGAGATTTATTAGACCTAACAAGCCTTTTCTATTCTCTGACCTTTCAATCATACAGCCGATATTTCACACTTAAAATCTTTTACATCAGTCTACAAAGTCACATATCTCCTGTTCTGAGAGGCATATAATTGTATAAGAGATTTCTTTAAACATTCACTTAAAAATCTTTCTCAATTTAAATTTCCTCAAATGGTGCCTTTATGTAACCTGGTCCATCGAAAACTAAAACAAATTAGACAAATTGAGGGGAAAAAATTCTGGTTTATACAGCTAGTCAAAAGAGGAAGGAAATACTATGTTATAGATCTTTTGTCTGCTCTCTGCTGTCTTGTCACTATAACCTTCACACCATATATCACATTGTACTATTTCATGATTTTCCTTTCTAACAAGAACAATAATACTAAAGTGCATGAGGTTAAAGCTATGTGTACTCAGTTTTTTGCTCTCTGACCACAACAACCTAGTGACATAGTCATGCTTCCTCTCACTTCCCAACCTTACTTATTAGTAAAGGGAATCATGATTAAATGAAATTAGATCAGAAAAGCAAGACCATTACAATACTTGGGAAGAAAGTTAGACAGTAAAATAAGTAAATAAATATTCTTTACTAACTGCTTCCTTTGCAACTTTTAACTAATTTCTAAGTGAATGATTTTCAAAGTAAACAAAGAAAATGAGCAGGTTAGGAAAAGGACTTTAAAAAAAAAAAAAAAAAAAAGCCAAACTGGAAGAAGCAAAATGAAACAAAAGACTTGGTCTTATATAAGCATATACACAACAGGCACTCTCACGCTGCAGAGTATAAATTGGCTTCATATTTTTAGAGGACAATTTGGCAAATGTTCAAATGAGTATCAAATGTTCAAAAACTGTTTTATTTTTTACCAGAAATTCAGCAATTTACACCAAAAGCAATCAGAGATGTGCAAAAAGATCTATATATAAGAATGTCCTTCACAAAAATTACAAACAAAAAAAAAAATTGAAAACAACATAAATTCCTAATAATGGATTATAAAACATCCCTGTTGTTGTTGTTGTTGTTGTTCTTATGTGCCGTCGAGTCGACCCTGACTCATAGCGACCCCTCCTTGGGTTTCCGAGGCAGTATCACTATGGAAGTAGATTGCCCCATCTTCCTTCCAAGGAGTGGCTGGTGGGTTTGAACCGCCAGCCTTCTGGTTAGCAGTCAAGTGCCTTAGGCACTACATCCCTAAGGAAGAATATTATATAGCTATTAAAAATTATGTTATAAAAGAACTGTTTAATGATAAAGTACTCATGACACATATAAAAACAGACTGCAAAATGACATGTACATTGTATTTCTAATGAAATTATACAAACACACACGGAAATAAAAGGCTACAAAGATACATTAACTATTACGTGATTTTCTTTGTATGATAGGAATATGTTGTTGTTGTTGTCGCTGCTGTTGCTGTTATGTGCTGTGAAGTCGGACCTGACTCATAGCGATCCCTCCTTGGGTTTCCGAGGTAGTATCACTACAGAAGTAGATTGCCCAAGCTTCCTTCCAAGGAGTGGCTGGTGGGTTTGAACCACCAGCCTTCTGGTTAGCAGTCAAGTGTCTTAGGCACAACGGTAACTCCTATTCTATTATTTGCTAATGCATGAAAGTCCCTAAGTCTCAGTATCTGAAGACGATCAAAGGATATGCAGCAAGGGCTAAAACCTGAAATTTGTTTAAGAATAAAGACAGTTATACAGACACCATTCATGAACTATAAGCCTGTATGAAATCACCCAGCAGCTAGTGCCAACAAGTCCTAACATGCAGAACTTAGAAACGATTGCAAAGGCCAATCCGTTTAAAAATATCTAACCACTGACACCTTTCTTTGCCTATCTTATTTCTTTAATTCTCCATTAAATTGCACCCTGTCATATCTAAAAATCCTATTCCTACCATATCTCCCCCAGCATATGCTGTAACTATTCATCTTCCAGTAATCTCTGATATCCTTCTCTTACATACTTAAGCAATTCCTATATTCCCTTCTTCTCAGTGAAGTCTTCCCCAACCAGCTCAAAGAAAGGAAGAAAACATTTTAAAACTCCCCTTCACACCTCAGCCAT